TTCACACAATAGAAGCTTATTGAATTGGTTTGGGTGGAGTTCAGCTACATAAATGAATGCTACCAATAATATAAAAGTAGGAGTAGGAGAGTAAGAGTAGGTCTCGGCCAATTAGCTCTCAGACAGAGACCTGTGCCTTAGATGCTTGATTCAGTCACTAATGGGACAGACGGGTGAATCATGTCTTCTTCCAGCTGCATTTAGGCTTCTTCCGTATGGGCCTGGAGGGGAGGCAGAGGAAACTTTAGTGAGCCAGGACATCCAAGGCATCAGACAAAAAAAAACACACAAAGCATGTTCCCACAACCAGATTATCTCCAAGGGACACTTTTAAAAGGGGCACTCAACTGATTGGACACATTCACTTCAGTGTACTCGTAATGAGCAGTACTTTATAAAACAGTATACTGTCTACTGTGGCTGTGGAGCTGTAAGGTCTGAGAAAACTATAATCATTATAATGTGAGGTTTTTTTGCATTTGCATTAGTGCATTTTGTCCCCCATCACTCACACTGAAGGGAGATTAGGAAGGGAGCTTTTAATGGCTGGTATTAACTCATTAGAGCCAGCAAAACCTGTTCATAGGGTCACCTGACTAATGGCAAAACTTTTTTTTATCTACCTTCTCTTCTACCTTCTCTCAGTTGCTAAGTAAAAGTGTTTCTCAGCAGCTTTATGAATAAGTAAATAAGAGGAAAACTCTTATTTACTAACTTGAAGCACCATTTAGGAGGATTCCCACTGGTAAAATATGGCCCCTGGTGTAAAGATGATTTAACATCGGAATGGTTTAATTTCGATGTATTTAAGTTTCCTAATTTTTTCTCAAACGCCTGGAAGAGAAGGCAAAGTGGACAAGTATTACCTTTGATTTCTCCAGTACTATATCACTGCCAAAAAGTAATTTTGGGCTGGGCATTTTGGGCTGGGCATAATTGTCTGGATGACACAATATTAAACATTAATTTATTCGTCATTCATTCGGTAAATTGATGGAGTGCCCCTTTAAAAGAAGAAAATAGTGGATAAATCTGGATCAGTAACTTGAAATAAAGGTGCTATTTGGGGAATTTAGAAGAAAAGACAAAAGGCCAAAGCAATTCAAGAGACACGTATTTATAATAAAACGTGCAGGACAAAGGGGTCTTCAACAACATACACTGCACTACATACAGGAATATTAGTCATTGAGACAGCGCAACTGAACTTTTTCCAAACCCAATACATACCATGAGACACTGGTGGGCTGACCTCTGGTGCTTTGGACCTGTTTCCTTTTGATCGGTGTCTTTCTAGGAGCTGTGTCACGATGCAAAATGTATGAAACAGCGACCTCCATTTTGGTCCCTGGGTCGCAGGTTGCCTTCATGGTCCGGAGGAAGTCAACATAGCTGTGAATAGAAGGGTAGAGTAGTGGTCTTTAATCTCTGCTGGCTTACTTACACCAAGCTCCACCACAATTCACTTATGAATGCGATTATACCTGACTTTTCTCGGCTCCTTTGACTCGTACAGACCCCGCAGTGTCATCGAAGAGTACATACCAAAGCCAACAACAGCCTTTCCCTCTTCGGCTTTCTCATATGCACGTTTAAAACTGACTTCTTTCCAAACTTCAGGGTAATGACTCACGTATCGAGTCAAGGAATCCTTCAAATAAGAAAAAAATTATGTTTATAGTTATTATTTGAGCTCTTTCTATAGGATTCACATTTGATTCAATTACATTTAAAATACTCTGGCGCATGGTACCTGGGAATGGATTAACTGCAGTGCATACAACCAAAGTTGTTTTCTTGAAGAAATATATATAATTAGATGAACAGCGGTGTGTGGCTTAAGTCTAGAAATACTATTTATTGCCATTTGTGAAAAAAATCATTAATATCTGAGCTGACTCCATATAGTGACGTGTACTCCAGTTGGGTACAGGTGCAGGATAAAAACCAGTAAACTAAAACATGTGTGTAATAGTTTTTTTCCAGATCAATAACAGGAGACTTTTTGCATCGTCCTGATGTTACTGCAAACTTGCACTTTTCTTTGCAGTACCTTGTTGGCCATTAATGGATCCTGACGCATTGTGCCCTTTTGCTCCTTCTGGTGGCTGGCCACCAGATATGCAGCATAGCCCACATTATTCTCCAGCAGCCATTTGAAGGTTTTACCTTTGTACTGGCCAAACTGAATCATAAACCTGCTCAGAATGAGCCAGTCATTACAAAGGTCACCGCCTTCAGAGAGAACACAAGCCTTCGCTTCAGCCTCCACCTCCTGAGGGCTTTTTGCCGTCACAGGTTGAGCAGGTTGTAAAGGCCGCTGGCCAGCCACATGGTTCCGAGCCTCTTGTGAGGGCTTTGTCTCCAACTCCCCGTTGGAAGTCCTTGGTAAAGTAGGGTGACCTTTCTGAAGAAGAGGAGCAGACATAAAACCAATAGAAAACACCAATATGAGTATCATTTCTAACAGCCAGCCACATGTTTAAAAGAATTTTAGAATTTTATTATGTGAAGTTAAACTTACATCCAAACAGGCTTTGGTTTTTGATTCTGTAGAGAAAGATAATAGGATGGTGAAAGGCGGATATAAGAAGAAACTGTATTAGCCTACAGCCTAAAAATCTCTCTAGCTCTGGTGTGGTGACTCACAGGAACATCCTCAGTTACATACATACAGTGGACACATTGAACTTTTAAATTTTGCATCTTAACATTCATTAACCAGACCTCAGATCATTTATCTGCAGCTGCCACGCCACAAGCAAATATTGATATATGTCTCTATGCCTTCCTCTGACCACCCTGTGAATATTTCTCTAGATCAACCCCTGAGGGAAGAAACATATATGTTGTATTTATAGCTAAGGGGTTGTTTTGTTCATCTTTGGATACTATTTGGAGACCAGCAGCAAAATAAATGAATGTGCACATTTGGGGAAAAGACATTTTTTCATCAAAGATCATGTGATGTAGACACGTTGAGTTTTCCATAGGGCTGCAGGATGTGGCATAAACATTACTTTTTTTTTATTATTTTGACAGATACTGCGATAACATTCATGATTAGTAAAGGAATTATTACAAATGTAATTTTCAATAAAAGAAACATGATTCAAATCATGATGATGGACATTTTTCCATCATATTGAACATATTTTCTTATATATCTGGAGACCAGGACATCTCTGCAGCACTACAATACTTCATTATAATGCTGTTATACCTTCCCATTTCCATATTGCAATTTTGATAATATTTCAATTAATTTACAATAACCAACAATAATCTACTTCTATATGCCTCTGCTAAGGCTTTAACAGAACTACCACCAAACAATAACATGATGACAACGTTGGTGTTACAATGTAATGACACTTCCCTTGCAGTGTAGTAACTAGTTACAGTGTGGATACACAGACACGCTTCCTGCAGGAAGCCTGACGGACATTTTATGATGAAATTCAGTCATCAGCGTTTACTCACCCAGTGCCTTTGCTTCCTCGTTGCAGTTGATCTGCTTCAGTAGATCCAGGGTCACTTGCAGAGCTTTGTGCTCGGTGAAGGTTGAAACCAAAAGGTCCGCCACCTCCAGGATAGATTTACCGTCCACAGCTCTGCGCCTGACCCGCGGCTCTTCCCGGCGGTCCCGCAGCCGGTGACAAAACTTCTCAAAGTTAATCTGCGTCAGATCCTCCAGCGACTTCGCTATTTCCCCTTTAATTGTTATACCCATCTCTCCTCACATACAGCGTCGTCTGCTTAGACAGGCTGGACCATTCACTAGATGATTGTAGACTAGAGGGCTATGCGCAATGCATACAGCGTCTTGTTTTAGTGTGTGGCGCTAACTGTGGTTAAATGTCGCGCCAAAACCCTCTTCTGCAACCATGACATATATAAAGTGCTTACCGCCACCTACTGTACCGGAGTATGTAGCATGAGTTATGGTTACATAGGACTACTCCTATTATTCTGTGTTGTATTCATTTCTAATAAAAAAGGGGATCCGGCTCCCATGGTTTACTAGTCTGCTCGTTCACTGCCATGGAAGGCCTGTAAACCTTATTTGTCGACATGTTGACGCAGTGTGCCAGCAGTTAGGATCTAAGGAGTTTGGAGGGATGTGTCTGTTTTCCTTTACATGAGCTGCCTCCTGCAGGAGAAGTCTGGTACACTCAGCTGGGAGAGCTTGTCCTGTAGCAGAGCCGGGGATGATGGTATTAAAAACAGAGCTGAAATCCACAAACAGGATCCTTATTGTGTTATTGTCAGTTATATTTGTTCCTTGTTTATTGTTATGCATCCATATACCAAGGCAAATTCCTTGTATGTGAAAACCTACAGACTGAACTTACTGACTACACAGCGGTGTTGCCAGATTTGATTAAAGTTGCCAAATCAGAGCCTTAAACCCCCATACTCATCAAGTAGTCCTTTTTTACCTGTTTTTTTTTTTTTAAAGAACAAAGCCACAATGAAAAGGTAATATAAAATGTAAACTGTAGCCTGCTGTTGTTTACATAGTGTTTCATTAAACTCTTCTTTTTTTCTGAACAAAATGAACCAAACACTGATATGGAGGAAGATTTTGGGCAAATAATAACAGGGAATAAATATGAAACAAAACTTAAACACTATTACTATGCTAATCTCCAGTACCACTAACTTATGATGTTTTACAGTGCTGTAAAGCACTCATTCTGAAGCATAAATAATTAAATACAGTAATTCTACAGGAGCATACTGCTAAATTACA